GCCCTGTGTTCCTGTTCTCTGCCTGAAGTAAATGTTTGCTGGGAAGTTTGTTTTCATAATTTCCTTTCAAAGTTCTCAGTTATCTTCTCCTTTTTACATTAGGATTATACCTAACGAGATCATCAGCAAGAAACTCTTTTGCATGTTGCTTTCATATCTCCATTTCTTGTCTCAGCTACTCTATAATTCTACATTCTTTCCAGATGATAAGCTGTTAGAGCTGATCCTCCAGTGACATGTGGGAGTTTACCTGCTCCAGGAAATGTGACCTTTTTGAATTTCTTTAATTGATGACCATCTCTGGTTTTCCTGCTTCATTATCTCTTAACTGGGGAGATATGTAAGATTAGAATTTCTGGTAGAGGTACAAGTTAGTTTGGAAACACAAAACTAAATATCTTTTAGTCTAATTTTAAAATTCTATTCATCTCATTATAGTTGTAACAAAAACATACAACAGAAAGAAAATTATAATATCCTTAACACGACCTTTTCACATTAGGGAAATGCTAAAAGACTTATTAATCTTGAGTTTGTATTCAAACCCTATTAGTTATTGGCACCGCAAACTTAATTGAGCTGCTCAAGCTCTTTTAAGTTTTGCTTCTTCATTTGTAAAATAGGGCTAATAATGCCTGGAAAAGGAATTCAAAGATTGAATATGATCTTATATAAAGACATGTAGAGTATGCATGTTTAGTGAATTATAGTTCTTATTGTGGAACTTACAACAAAATCAGTGAGCAGAGACCTTTACTTGTTTTTCATTTTATTTTTTATTTTTTGGCATTGCTGGGGATGGAATTTAAGGCCTTCCTTGTGCAAGTGAAGTACATGCTCCACTGCTGAGCTATATCCATACTTTTTTTTTTTTTTTTTTAGTTAAGAGTCCTAGGGGTAGATCTAATGGTACTTCTGTGGTGAAATTGTTGGCAGTTAAGATGTTTATAATAACTTATATGATATATAAGTTTTAATTTTCAAGCATGTGTTCTTATTCAGAATTTATGTTTATTGGGGCTGGGGATTTAGCTCAGCAGCATATGCACCTGCCTTGTAAGCAGGCAGTCGTGAGTTCGATCTCCGGTACCGATAAAAAGAAAAAAGACAAAAAAAGAATTTATGTTTATTTAGCCTGTATCTCTAAACACTATTTAGTGTCTATTTTCTTTTTATTCCTGTGAGGAGGCACTTGTAATAGCAGTGTGTTCTGAATATTTTCTTTGTCATGTTAGGGATTATTGCAATCCCAGTAGAATTGCAGGATAATTTTGGTTATATAATCAGTTCATTCTGAAAATGCTTTTAAAGATGGTTTGATGTTTGAGAAGAAGTACAAGGAAAACTATTTGCAAATATAGAGGTCTAAGCCAGATTGGGTTTTTAAGAGTGTCAGCACTAACAATTAAGTTAATGTTCTCTTTTGTCTTCAATAGAAAGACCTGATCTATTTTCTTTGGGTATGAGACCAATTTGTTAATTGAATAAGGAAATTAAATTTTGTTTTAAAACTACATTTTTGAGATTTAAGACTTTTTCATCTTTTTTAGTGTTCATCAGGCCCTTGCTTCAATCCCTAACACCAAAAAATAGTTAGTTGGCTAATTAGAAATTTATTTATTTATTTATTTATTTTGGTACTGGGGATTGAACCCAAGGCCTTGATATTGAACTATAGGTTCAGAGTGCTAAGCCCCCATACCCAGCTGAAATTTTTCATCTTTTGATACTGACCTTATGGTAATGAGTGCATACACAGGGCCTTTAAAGAATACTTTGAAGCAGATACAGCCAGTTGCTCAATCCATTTAGAAACCCTTAGCTTCTTTTAGTGATACCCTAGTAACCAAGACTGACTAGGACCTCTTTTTGGCTTATTTGCTGTTTGGCCATGGATCAAGGCAAACCCCATCCACTGTCTTTTCTTGCTCTTCTTATCTGAGTGTCCTCATTGGTAAGTAGAACTTTCGTGTTAAGGGTAGGTCCAAACCTCTGTTCTAAACTCTTGCAGAAAAAAGGACAGATCCTATGTGTCACACCTCCCCCTTGGCTGGTGTCTCCTGTCCCTCCCCTTTGTCCCATTGTCTTTTACTCTCCATCCACTGGCCATAGGACCAAAAGGTACTTACAAAAGAAAGACGAATCTAAAAAAAATTCTCTAAGTAAAGGTGACAGAGGCTACTGGAAAAAAAGCATCATCCTTTGACTTCAGACACTGGGGCAGACTTTCTTGAAGCAAAAAAAAAAATTTTTTTTTTTTTTGTCTTTTTCTTTTTTATCCGTACCAGGGATCAAACTCAGGACTGCCTGCTTGCAAGGCAGGCGCTTATACCACTGAGCTAAACCCTCAGCCCCCGAAGCAAAAGATTTTGAAGGAGGGATAAAAGACTGAATTTTATCCAAGAATTAAGGCATGAGAGGGTATCAAAACAACATGTTGATCCCTTTCATACAACTGTAATTTCTCATACTCTGTCTCTTTGTATCCCCCTTCCAAAAGTTGTCCAAGCTTATTGGACAATAGTAAATAAGATGGAGTAAATAAATAAAAAAGATGGAGTCACCTGATAAGGTTCATGTTCTTTGGTAGTGTACCTTTCAGAGCCAAACACACCTCTCAGGCTGAGCAGGAGCCAAGGTAGGGACCAATCAGCTGCTGGGCTGAGGCCAGCATGAGCCCCAGGTGGCACATTCTATGCCTTCCCAGGGGACTTCAGGAGCTTTCTCTCTACATCCATTTATTTGCAATTGTAATGTCGTTTGCAGTGTTCTTAAATTTATAGACTCAAAATTCATGTCACAAAGATTAGTAATAATGCCACTTTGGGGCTCCTTCTTAGAACTGTTCTTACAAGTCCCCTCTTGCCCCAGATTAAAACAGCACCTTAAACTTGACACAGTGGCATACACCTGTAGTCCCGGTTACTCGGAAGACCAAAGCAGGAGGATCACAAGTTTAAGTCCAGCCCTGGCACCTTAGCAAGATCCTGGCTCGAAAAGTAAAAAAAGTCTAAGCATTTAGCTTAGTGGCAGAGCCCCACTGGGTCTGATCCTTACTATTATAAAACAAACAATCCCCTCCCCCCAACTTTAGAATTACCTGGGCTGGAGGGTGTAGCTCAGTGGGAAACTACTTGCCTAGTGTATACAAAAGTCTAGGGTCAAACCTTAGCAGTGAAAAAAAGCCAAAAAATAAAAACCTTCCGTGATTACTGGGTCCCAGCTACCCTGTGGAGGCTGAGGTGGAAGAATTGCTTGAGTCTTGGAATTTAGGACCAACATGAACAACATAGTCAAATCTCATTTCAGACAAACAAAACAAAAACTCCTGTGGTAGGTGAACTCATTGCTAGTAGTACATTAATTTATGGAGAAAATAGTGAATCTATGGGCCCCTTCTCCTTTCTAACATTTAGTAAAAATAGAACTTAAATGATATATTTTTAGTAGTAGTGATATATTCATTAAAATTACATTCTGTTTTCTATCTTTTTGCTTTTTAGAAGTTTATTGGGTTTTTGTTCCGTTTCAGTTCCTGCAAGCTGCTTGTAAAATCATGCAAAGGGTTGTATAAAGGAGTTTTTAATGTTGCTTTCTAGACAGAGATTTGAAAGACTATTCCTTTACATATTTATACTTGCCATTTTACTGTAATTAAAGTACTTGAGTTTTCTCAGAACAAGGATATCTGAAATACGTGTTTTCTATAAAAAGAATAAATTGCTGGCTATTGATTCTTTTTATTTGTTTTTCAGATAATGGTTTCTGTAGATGCATGTGCAGAGAAGCCAAGTAGCAGACTATCTGGAATTATTTGGTCCTAAAAGCCCTGAGTTACAAAAAGAACTAATAGAATCTGTGATATTTATACACAGCACATTGTCAGAGATTGCTGACTGAAACTGTAAAGTCACATTAAGTGTTTTATGCCATTGATCAGATAAATGACATGACAGGCAGTCTTCAGTTTAGAGTGATCAGTGCAGGCAAGTCACTGTCATCCACAGTGCTGGACCCACAATGCCCATCTGTGTCATCACCTCTAGCTTGAAGTCAGCAGGCCACTCACAAGTCACCTTCTGTAAATGAGCCTGCGAGGTAGGACCCCTCTGTAAGACCTCCTGCTTCCAAGCCTGGCCCTGTTGACTGATTCTCTTCTCTTCTTTTCCCCACCTTGGAGTCATTTAGCTTCTAAATGGAAAAGGTTTTTGTTTTTGCTTTTAAATAAGAAGTAGGGAATTGGCAGGGAAAGTGGCCCAAGTAAAATCTAGAAGGAAAGATAGAGAGGACTAGCAGTGGGGGGCTGAAGAGGTGTAGGTGTTAGACAACGGTCTTCCAGAAAGGGCCAAATAGTAAATATATTAGGCTTCATGGTCTGTTGTAATTACTCATTTCCACCATTCTAGCCCCAGAGCCAGCCTGCGTGGTGTGTAAATGAATGGCTTGGCTTGTGTCCAGTTAAATTTTATTTATAAAAATAAACCCAACACTAATAAGTAAGAGAAGCTGCAAGTGATAATTTTACAAATAACTTAAGGAAAGTTCAACCACAAAGCAAGGTAGTTAAGGGAAGTTTTCTGGTGCCCTGTTCATACTACCCGTCCTAGATCAGGTTAGGGGTCAGAAAAAGAAGTTAGGGGTTTAAACTGTATTTGTCAGTCGCCTCTATGGAAGAAAAAGCTTTATTCTATTAGATTGTAACGACTGTGGTTTTTTTGTTTATTTGAAAATGAAGAAGAATAAAAATGATACTGAATTTAGAAACAAGAATTTCAAAACAAAATAGGGGATTAACAATGGTTAATATATTGTGTATTGTTATTCTCAAAGTAATTGCTCATATCACAAGATATAGGCATGGAAAATGATTGTGATTTTTTTATAAAAATGGGGTACACTAATAAGATTTAAGTTCTCAGTTGAATTAGCCTTTTTTGCTAATAAAGTAGCATTGGAATGTCCCACGTAATGTAACAGCTGGTTCTTATGATTTCTGACAGGTTGTTCCCACTGAAGGACTGGTGTCTATATTAAAGAAGAGGAGTGATTCTGTAGGAGATCATCCTGCCCAAATGCAGCAGAAACCATCTAAGCGAAGAGTGAGATTCCAAGAAATAGATGATAATTTGGATCAAGGTAATCAACTCAGCCCTCTTCCTAACAGATTGCTAAACAAATTCCTAAGTACTCTGGGAGGCTGAGGCTATGATAGGATTATTTGTTGACACTATTTGTTAAAGAACATATGAATTTAGTTGCTTTCTCATTGCAAAAAGAAACAAAGTCAAGTGTCATCTTAAATTATTTTGAAGCATTTTTGAACTGCAAGTATATCCTGTTCAGTGGTTTCTTTTTTGCTCTATTTTTAAATATAAATATAAATCACAGAGTCATATGAGCATCTAGTTGCATTTGTGTAAAAGTCCTAAAATCATATATGTTTGATCTAGAAGAATACAAACCAACTTTAAGAGTATTTACCTCTGGAATGGGAGAATTAGATTCTTAGATAGTTTTGTGCTTGGATTTTTACAAGGAGACTTATTACATGTATTACTGTAAAAGCTTCTTAAAGTATTTAGTATAGATTAGGTTTTTAAAATTTTTTATTTTTTACTTTATTGGTACATTTTAAATATACATAATGATCACATTCATCATAGAGAATTTAGACCTGTACATGATATATCTTCTTTTTTTTCCCATTTCCCTTCTCTCCATTTAACCCCTTTTCCTGTGGTTAAGAAGCTTTGATTAAGTTTTATATGCTAATCACAAAAGAATTCAAAGGTAATAAAAGATATAAATCCTAGGGCTGGGGATTTAGCTCAGTGGCATAAGCGCCTGCCTTGTAAGTGTGTGGTCATGAGTTCGATCTCCAGTACTGATAAAAAAAAATAATAATAAAATAAAAACAAAAGATATAAATCCCACAGCTCTTTCATTCTCTTTCCTTGAGTATTGGGTAAAGTTTGTATTCTTTTAAGATGTGTTCCGTGTATGTGTGTGCATATCTTTATGTATACACAATGAGGCATAAACATGTCTTATCTTTTAAAACACAAATTCCTTATACTATTAGATAACTTCTTTTAAAAATATGATCATGAATCATGTATATCTTTCTGAGATAACATATTAAATATACCTTATTCTGTTAAATAATTGTATAGTGTTCCATTATATGTGTTCCATAATCAAACTATTCCACTATCATTGGATTAACTGGATTAACAAATGTTCTGGCTTGCATCTGTTTGTCTCAGTGTTGCATTCAGTTAACACTACACTTCATGCTCTGAATTGTCAGTCTGGAGAATAAATTCATTTAAAAGTTTGATAGGTATTTCCAGGTTACCTTACTAAAAACACATCTTCCTTGTGCTGCTGATCATAGAACTAGTTTGCCTTTCTAAAGTATTGTTTATTTTTCTTTAATTATGAATGATCATTGAAATTTCCAACCAAAGAACAGTTATTTTACTCAGTATAGAAAGACTGATGTGGATGGATATTTTTATAAAAACAAATCTAGCTTGGTGGTGTAGTGCCTGTCTGGCAAACACACAGTCCTGTGTTTGATTCACAGTACCAAACAAAAACAAAAACAAAAAAGCCTACCTGAAGTATTAAGCAAAATAAAAAGGAATTGGTGCGCTAGCCAGTATCTTGCTATTGCACTGAATAAAAATAGTGGCTATATTGCTGGATGCATATGAGATCTAACACCAAGGGTGTTTTGTTTTATTTTGTTTTGTTTTGTTTTTGGTACTAGGATTCAAACCCATGACCTCACACTTGCCAGGCAGATACTGTGCCGCTGAGCTATATCCCTAGCCCGTCCAAGGACATTTTTATTCTTGAATATAAAATTTACTTTATTGGGCCAGGGATGTAGCTCAGTTGCATTAGCACTTGCCTAGCAAGTGTGAGGTCATGAGTTCAATCCCCAGTACCAAAAAAAGAAAAAAAAATTTAAAATTGACTTTACTTAAGGAAGTCCCATGTTGTGAACTCCTAAAACACTATGATAGTGATGCTATAATGGTATTCTAAAATAACTGTGAGCATCTTAGAGGAATACTGCCGTTTTCCTGTTTCTCATGGAAGTGATATGCATTGTACACATGAGCTAGTTTTAATTTCGGCATTCACAAGCTTCCCTGGTATGAATCTTCGTGGTAACCTATCTGCAGATTTTTATTGACTCATTGACTGCACATGTTCCCTGGCTATCTCCTGACCTCAAGGGCTAACATTATAAGCTCTTCATTACCATTAAATCAATCAACAAGAAGACAGCATGTACTCGCATTTCCATTTTGATGCAGATCTAACCATACTCTGTTCTCATGTTTGCAGATGAAGTTGGAGGTAGCTCCTGTATTTTACTGATCCTGCTGTGCATAGCAACAGTTTTCCTTAGTATTGGAGGAACTGCGTTGTACTGCACTTTTGGGGACATGGAGTCACCTGTTTGTACAGACTTTGCAGCCAACGTGGACTTCTATTACACAAAGTTCCTGCAGGGAATGGCAGAACTGAAACACTGGATCTACCTCTCCTAGCAGCATTCTAGAAGACAGGCGTGTTGGTAGTGAGAATGAAAGATGTGAAACTTTCCCAACTGCTTTCATTTTAAGAGTTCTAAAACATTCCCCTTTCCCCCTAGCAAGGACCCAAGGACATCAGAAATAGCCACTTTTTAAGTGGCAACCCAGAGGAACCTTGTGAGAATAATTCACATAATGAGGCAAATATTGATCTAAGCATTGTGAACCGAGGGAGTGATCTTTGGGGAGCAAACATATTCATCTCCTCCTCATTGCTTCCTACTGTAAAAAAGTACACTGAGAGGAATATGCAGGGCAGTGTTGGAACAACACTTACTTTTCACTACTTCGTCAAGCTGAAAGTGAAAGGATGTTTGTGGTTTACATCTCTTGGTTCTTTGGCATTGCTTCCAGCCATCATGCAATAAGTTTGTAATCAAAAACAGTTACCTTATAATTTCAATGTTATTTTTAGTCAACCTTGAGAGCTATGTGATTTAGGCTTTTATTATTTCCAGTTTCTGTTCTACATTTCTGTCTGTGTGAGTGTTTCGAGCAATTATCCAAATATTCAATATAAAATAACAAAGATTATCTTTATTCTTTTAACTTGATTATGATGTGCAGGCACAAATCTTTGAAGAAGGCTTAATCGTGGAATACATGAACTATAGAATTGCTGGCCCTGAAATGAAAAACTGTGACAGATGTATGGCATTTAACTCTCTTGGGTAGTGGGAAATTAACCACAGGCCTGAGGCAAGGTTAAGGAGTTCTCCCGGAGTCTCAGCCGACGCTGCCATGGTGGATTCAGTGCTTTCTGAAATGCTGAGTGCTGAACTCAGCGCAGCACACCCTTCTGACCGCCTCTTATGCTCTAACAATCTAAAAACCAGAAGATGACTATAAATAAGATGTAATTTCTGCCATAAATGTTTTAATTCTGGTCTTATGTAAAGTAAACCAGTACTTTGGCAAGTGAAAGTAAATTATCGCATATAATTCAGTATTAGCAGATCATGCTTTCAGAGTTTTAAATGTGCATTCATATCATGGGCTTGATTTAGACTATATTGTGGGGTCATTAAGCAAAAATTCAACCATTCCTTAAGTAGGCAAATGTCTCGGTTTTGTTTAAATCTGTCAGGTGGCCTTTCCTTATTTAAGGTACAGTAATCTAACATTTGGGAAGCCTTGCTTTGACTTTTTTATATTATAGACTGCGTTAAAGAAGAAAACATGAATTATAGTTTTTTAGCAAGTGATTCTTATTTCCTGTTTTTCTTTTATTGAAAGAAAAAGGCAGATGTTGATTTCTAGTTGTTACTGGCTGGTACAGTACTTCCCTTTGTGTTTTTGCTTATTTATTTAGATTGTATAAAGTTTAAAGGGCTTTTTGTACAAGTTGAAAGTGTATTGCTGAGCATGTATTTGGTTGTCCCAATGCTAGATATTTAATTATGTACGTAGTGTTTTGATTTTCTATAATTTCAGCTAAGTGTGTTTTTAGGCTTGTTTTTAAATTGATGTTTCATTTTCACCTATAATACTGTTTGACAGGTCTCTATCATGTTACCATAAACTGTAATATTTTCAATGGTTATAGATCAAAGATATTTATTTAGAAGTATACAAGATAATGAAATTTAGAGTCCTTATACTTAAGACTGATTTTATTAGAAGATTATTTTAATGTTCTATTGTAAATTTTAAGAATTTATACTCAAACTGTAAAATATGTAATATGCCCTCAGTACCATCTTCAGTGGTTCTATAAATGACTTTGCAAGTTCTCCTATGAGGGGCCTCCTCATTATAGACAGACTGTTTTGTGTTTTGCCCTTTTAATTTCTAGTTGCAAGAATTAGGTGGTCCTGTGTTCTGCCAATTTTATGTCAAGAAGTTAAAAATTTCCCTCCTGTTTACTGTCAGTCATGTATAATCCCTGGTGTGACGTTTACCTATATTACCACCTAGCCAGTTTTTCTGAAAACTCAAGATTTCCTGGGAAGCTTCACATTGGAGTGAAAGAATTGAGGTAGCAGCTTGCTAATTAGGGGCCCAGCTGTTCCTCAGAGATACCATGGGTGAACAGACACTTCCAAGGACAGTGATGGGAGCTCAGAAGCATAGTGAAACCTTGACTTAAAGTAGGCATGAAATCTCACTACACAAATTAGGGCAAGCTTTAAAAATGTAATAGTTCTTTATTGCATGAATCGGAGTAATTCTACCTGGTGATGAAAGGATTGTTATCTCATCCATAAAAATAATTCTTCCAGTCTTACCAAAATATAATTTCTTCTTACTTGAAAGTACTGACAACTATTTGTAACTAATCTTCCTTAAGACCTGTATTTGAGGGTATCAAATCAAACTTGTAATTTAAAATGTATACCGACAAACTGTCTCAGAGACTTTATTGAGAAAAATTGCTTCAAAGCAAAAATACTTCCAGGAGTTGTTCAGACTCACAAGCAGATAGCCATCTATTTAGGGACTCTAATAGGTCCCTAAGTAAAAGCTCCCTTCCTTCTAAAATTCCTCCCCCATCTGCCTGTCCTAGTGGCTGAATTCACTAAAAATACATACTTGGGCCAGGGATTTAGCTCAGTGGCATAAACGTCTGCCTTGAAAGCGTGAGGTGGTGAGTTTGATTCCCGAACTAAAAATAAACATAAAAATACATTCTTTTACACTGGAAAATCAAAACCCTCTGGGAGGTTTACTTTCTCAAGCTGTGAATTTGTGTAATAGATGTGCAGAGAATTTGAAGGTGGGCCTGTTTTTCAAGGCAGATGTGAGTTTAATCTTGCTGGAATGGCAGGAGGATGCAGAGTGAGAGTAGCAGGGATGAAGTGGTAGAAAGGGTTAAGAAAAAAGAGAAGGTAGAAAAGAGCAAAGGAATCCTTTAGCTTTAAACCTTTTTGCTAAACCTAGCCTGTGACATAATACTCTCCACACAAAGAGAAGCTGAATATTTATCTTTCTAACAACATGAACTATATAATTCTGTTCATTTATTTGAACTCAATCTTTAATAACTCATATTTGAATAATACTTTATGCAGTGTTTTAATATTTATTCATTTAATGTCTAGCAAAGTGAAGATATACCCCTCAAGTCCAAGTCTGATAACTCCCAAGCCCATTACACTTTTTATCCAACATTTAGCCATCATCTTCAAAAAGGATAAAAATGAGGCTGAGGCAGGACAATCGCTTGAGCCCAAAAATTTGAGAATAACCTGGGCAACATAGCAAAAAAGCATGTGAACAATAGCAGCGTATCTAAAAAGAAAGAAAGAATAAACATGAATCTAGGATTTGTGGCACAAATTCTAGTGTCATCTGCTATCTTAATAACATTTAAGGTAAGCATTTATAGAGTCTCACGTACTGACTTCCAAAAGCAACAGTGAATTAAGATATTCCTTGTGGAATTCTGATGCTACTTAATCTCCTCAGGTTTAGGCTACTGAAAACAAGGTGCAGCAATGTGTGGTCATCTCTTTTCTCTGATCAAAAAAGAGTTACTCAGGAACCCAGCCTTGTGTCTGTCACCCTGAGGTTAGTGCAGAGCCATGAGCTACAATGTTTGTCACTGTCTGTACCTTCACAGACACTGGAATACCTGCAGTGCCTGCAGGACCGAGGCTGCAGAACACTGGGCATGCTACCACAATGAAGAGTTAGCATCTGGTAAGGGAAATGTATTTGCAAACAGGGAACAAAAAGAAGAAACCAAAGAACGCGTTGCTCACATCAATGGAAGCTCACGCTCATTTCTTCCAAGCATGTGTTCTCTACTGTTAGGAGTAAGAGTAAAGTTCTATCTCAGTCACCTGCACAGCAACACTAGGAAAGTTGACAAAAGTCTTAGAGCCAAAGCTCTGGTAGTTAGTACTTTTCATTTCTAGTTAGTACTTGCAGCGTTAATAGCTGGGAGGTTTCTCAGCAGTGGAGATTTGTCTTTGTGAGAGTCTTCTTCAAAACTGAAAGTCTGAATTGCCCTGAAGTGAAAAATTTCTAACCAAATGCCAGTCCATGATGGCTACACCAGTAAGTGCCAGTCATTTAAGACTTAATACCCATGCTACCTACAAAATACTCTTCAAAAGGGTGACTACTGTTCTTTTTATGAAGAACTGGCTCTGGTACCAAAATAGTAAGACAATCAGTATCACTAATGAACGTAGACTCAAAATTCCTTGAGGGCTGCAGATGTAGCTCAATGGTAGAATGCTTGCCTGGGATGCGTGAGGCCCACAGTTTGGTGCCAGATACACACAGATTTTTTTAAAACCTAGACACAATAATTCTTTAAATAGTACATCAATTCTAAAACTACATATGAAAGACTGTCATTATGAAATGAGATTTATCCCAGGAATATTATAATATTCAAAATTCACTCTAATTATTTTAACAAAACAATCTTTATGCTCATATCAATTTAATGTTCCTTTCATATTAAAAACTCAGCAAATGAAATAAAATGATCTTTCTTGATAAAGGCATTTATAAGAAACTTACAGCTGAATAGTAAATATTTAATGAAAAAAGACCAAGTGATTGTCTTGGTCAGGAAAAAGGCAAGGAGCATTTTTATTCAAAATACTGGAAGTCTTATAGCAGAAGAAAGGGATTCCAACTAGAAATAAAACTTCCTAGTGACAAAATTATTTATAAAGAGAATCCAAAGATGTTTATAAAATATAACTAGAATTAAGTCAGTTTAGCAAGATTATAGGATGCAAGATCAATATACAAAATTTCAGTTTTTCTGCAGATAATTAATAGGCTATTTGGAGGTGAAATAAATTTATAAGAAACATTTGAAGCAGTAGTTTTAGGTAGAAAAACATGAAATACCTGTGAACAAGTTTAGTAAAATCGGTACTAAAACCTGTATGCTGAAATTAAGACATTGCTGAAAGAAACAAAAGATAACGTAAATAAATGAAAAAAATGTATTTTCTGTTCACGAAGTGGGAGATTATTTTTAAGGACATCAGTTTTCCCCAAGTCAATTCATAAATCTTACACAATTACAAACAAAATTCCAACAATTTTCAGAAATTATTTAATTTTAAAATATGGCGGAGATGCAAGTGACTTGAAGATAGCCAATGAAGTTGTAAGAACAAAACTGGACGGTTTGTGTTTCCTGTTTGGAAGATGTAATGCTACAGTAATCAAACTAGGATCAAGCTGATCCAGAAACAGAACTGCATGTGTACATTCAAATGACCTGTAAAGGAGCCAGGCAATTCAATGGGGGGAAGAGAAGTCTCAGCAAATAATGCTGCAAAAAAACTGCAGGTCCAGTTGAGAAGCCAATGAAGACAGACTTCTACTTCACACATAACAAACAAAAATTGGAAACAAATGGATTTAAGTGTAAAACTAAAACAAAATATAGGCGAAAATCTTTGTGACCTTTGGGTAAACAATTATTTCTTAGGCTACAAAAGGAAACCATAAAAAGAAAAAATATCAATAAACTAGACTATTTAAACATGCCTTCTAAAGGACATGCAAAATGGGAAATGAAAAAGCAAATTAACAACTAGGAGACAGTATTTACAATAGATTTATATGGAAAAGACCCATATCCAGCATATGTAGAGATTGCATAAGTAGAATACATGAATAGCCAATGAGCACAGAAAAATATGCTGAGTCACTAACAAGGTGGAAATTAATAAGCTACTGATAACAGGCCCACTAGAATGACTGAAAGCACTGACATTAACCCAGAAATGCCAGGGTAGTTCAGCATAAGAAAATCAGTGTACTAGTAGGATGATGGGGGAGAAACCACATGATTATGTTAATGGATGTAGAAAAGAGCATGACAAAAACTCAAAACTTTATGCTTACATCATGCTAGCAACAAAAGAGTACTTCTTTAACATGGCAAAATGTACTTAAGAAAAACAGCTAATGGGGAAAGATTGAATGTTTTCTCCCTTAGGCAAAGAGATGAAGGATACTCATTATTTACTGTTCATTGTTCTACTGGAGGTTCTAATTAGAGAAATCAGAGGACAAAAGACAAACTAGATTGGAAAAGAGGTAAAACTTCACAGAAAACAAGTTGTTATATATGAAAACACTGGAATAATCCACATTAAAACTATTGGACCTAGCAAACAAACTCAGCAGAAATTTTAAAGCCAATACAAAAATTCAGTTTCTATACACCAGCAATACAGAATGTAAAAATGAAATAAAGTCCTTTCTAGCTCTGTATAGTGGCATGTGCCTGTAATCCCAGCTCCTTGGGGCTGGTGCAGGAGCATTATAAGTTTAAGGCTAGCCTGGGCAAGTTAGCAAGATCTTGTCTCAAACTGTGAAGATTTTTTTAAAGGCTAGGGATAGAGCTCATTATTTGCTAAAGTGTTTGCCTGGCCTGGTAGTTTAATCCCCATTACCACCACCAAAAAAGCAAAACCTAAATAAATGGAAAATGGGTCCATGTTCATGTATAGAAGACAGTATCATTAAGATGTCAAAACTATCCCAAGCAACCTAGATACTCTCCACCAAAATTGTAGACACTGTTGCTTTGTGATTGTTTTGAGGTGTCAGCTGTCCAGTTTCTTTGGCATTTCAGAGGCAACCAAGTAGCCAAAGCAGTCTTGGAAAAGAAAAGCAAAGTTGGAAAGCCCATACTTCCCAATTTTAAAACTTACTATAGTACTACAGCAATCAAATCAATATGATACTAGCATAAGGACAAAGGATACGATAGGATAGAATAGGATTCAAGATGCAGGGGGATAAAAATCTTTGCCCAAGTTATTTTTGACAAGGGTGCCAGGTCCAACTCAGTGGGGGAAAGAATACTGCCCTCAACAGATGGTGCTGAGTCAACAGGCTTTCCACATGCAGATGAATGAAGCTGATCCCCTGCTTCACACAACATACTAAAATTCAAAATGAGTCAGCCACTCAGATGAGTCCATAAAACTAAAGAAAGTCTCCGTATCTTAATTTGTCAATATATGCTGAGAGTTTAATGTTTAGAATACATAAAGACTCAAAAACTAAGACTCAAAACTCTTCTAAGACTCAAAAACTCATTTTAAAAATGGGCAAAACAATGAAACATTTCTGCAAGAAGACATACAAATGGACAATAAATAAATACACAAAACAGTATAAAGCTCAGTGGTGCAAGCACCTCCCTGGCAAGTGCAAGGTTCTGAGTTTGGTTCCTAGTACCAAAAAAAGAAAAAAACCTTAACATCATCCATTGGTCACTAGGGAAATATATCAAAACTACAATAAGATGAATGAAATGGTTTATGTCACAACATGGATAAATCATGAAAACTATGCTAAGTGAAATCAGATACAAAAGAACAAATGTATGATTCCAAATTATGAAATATCTAAGGAAAACTTAGAAGAAGTAAATGAGGTTGTAGGGTATGGGTAAAATAGATTATTGCTTACTTGTTTCAATGTTTTTAGGGGGGTGAAAAGTTTAGAAATGGTTGCACAACACTGCTTAAAGCCACTGAATTGTATACTTACAGATGGTTAAGGCGAGTGTGGTAGCACATAGCTGTAATGCGAGTACTTGGAGAGGCTGAGGGAGGAAATGACAGGTTCAAGTGCTTTCTGGGCAATTTAGAGAGATACTACCTCAAAAGAAAATAAGGGGACTGGGTATATAGCACAATAGTATGGTACCCCTGCATTCAGTCCTCAGTACTATAAAAAAGTTTAATTTCTTAGATTACATATGCATTTTAACACACTACCAAATGCTGATGAGGATGCAAAACAAATTGTCATCCACAGTTAGTGTAGGAATATGAAGTAGTACAATGTTTGGAAAAGAGCTCGGCTGTTTCTTGTTTATATGAATATACCAACTACGCCTGACTCAGCAACTCCACACCAAGGTTTCTTAGGGAATGGAAAATGGGTCCACACAAAAACACTTACACAAACGACAATGGTAGCCTCATCTGTGACAGCCAAGGATGGAGACACTGCCATGACCACCACCAATATGAAGGAAAACTTCAGTCATAAAAAAGAGCAAATGATACACAAATGACATCAATGAGTCTCAGAATAATTATTCTAGGTGAAAGATGATGGAAACAGAGTACGTACTGCTTATTTCTATTTGAAGTTTTAGAAAATGCCCCTTATCTATAGTGACAAACAAGCCAGATGTTCCCTGAGGAATGGATGGCAAGGGGCACATGACAACTTTTGGGACTGATGAAAACATGTGGCCTGAGTGTGCTGTTAATGTCACACGTCTGTGCATCTTGCAAAACACTCAATGAAAGCCATTATGTACATATACCTCAATAAAGTTGTTTTTTAAAAAAGATTGTTCAGTCTGCAGCATTGTGGCATCTCAAGATACTACGAGGGGCCACAAAACCCCTCCTGACCTTCAGAATACCTTGTTCCCTTTCCCTGTTGCTTAATTGGGTTAGAAAAATTTTCTTTGGGTGGCCTCCAGGGTCCACTCCCCATTTGTGCCAGACCGAACTACTCGATACTGTTGTGATGAACTCACTAGTTCAAAATACCCTTATTTCAGTCCTAATTCTGTTTACTGCTTTTAGATCCCTCTACCTCCTGAGATGTGAGCTGGTGGTTTAAAACATTTTTTCTACCTGATGCAGCATTGGATTCCAAATGCAATCTAATTATAGAATGTACGGACAGCCTAATCTGGACAGCCAGAATGCACTGATGGAAAGTGACTTCATGATTGTATTGCTTTTCTTAATGGCCTTGGATCAAAGGTCAGGAAGGAGATATGCACTTAGGGAGAAGTGGCTTGCATCGCTCATCCCTGATGACAGGCTATAAGTGGCTGCTTCTCATTTTCAGAGTGTAAGATTGATGACCTACAAGATCAGTAAAAATTTAAAAAAGAAAAAAAAAACGTCTTTGCCTGAGCTTCTGGTCTGAGTAGGAACTTGGTTCAAATGTGACCATAAATATAAATAATTGTTTTTTTCCTATTTCATTTTTTTCCCTTGATCGAAAAACAATTATTGGGCTAGGAATAGTAGTCCCATCAATCCTGGAGAGGCAACTTTCAGGATGTGAGATATTTTGATGATACAGAACAGCCAAAAAAGGAAGCCTAAGATTGAAGTCTTCATGATGCATGAAATCACAAAAACTGTTTAGTTGCCCTTCTGGACTTCAGTTTCCTCATCCATACTATTTCTAAGAACTTCAAACTTTAAAATCCTCTTAATTCTTTGAATATCTGAGAGTACTCTGCATTATCTTCCTGAGGAAAAACAGTTCCCTGTATTTGGTGACATTGGATTAGCTGGATGGGAGCTCCCTGAAGCTGCACTTGGAGGTCTGAAGAGGAATCGCTCAGTGGACCCAGACTCTGAAGGCCCCACGGTACCCTCTGCTAGCAGAAGCCTGCTGGACAGTCCCTGCTTCAGGAGGCCTGGTGCCTTGTGGGACACTGCCCCGTAACCCCAGCTATGGTTGGTTAGATTGAGGGATTGCAATGCACTCCTTGAGATGTAAGGGAGGATAGTGACATGAGAGAGTTGGTGCTTGAAGACATCTTTATCACCACAACAACGTAGAGTCAGGCGTTTTAGGAAGTCATCTCTCACATAATTTGATTTGGGGAAAATCATCTGCATCCAGCCTAGCAACAGGGTCGGGGGAAAGGATTAAGAGCACTGCATTTTGCATTTTGTCTGCTATGCGTGGTGAGCCTGTCAGTGTCACAACACAGCACAGATGTGAGGTCCATGGAACAGAGGGTCATCGGGTCAGAAACACAGGAAGGATTCATCACTAGGAGCTCTGGAGGGCAGTCTCCAGCTCCTCTTACGGGATTCTCCAAGCACCCCACATCTCCCATAAACAGGAGATGCCACTGGCACAGCTCTGAGAACAATACTCCGCAAGAGGGCAGGTAAGAGGACAGAATTTGTTGGCATTTGTTGTCTTCATGACTGTAGAATGTAAACTTTTTAATCTTTCACAATAGTGAAAATTTAATCAGCCTAGAATGTAATGCAAAAATAAAAAAGTGCCCCACCTGAAATAAAAATTCTGCAAATGTAGTTCTGTGTGCTGTGTGCTCTACGGTTCCAGTCACACTCCTTGGCCCACATTCACAGAATTCTGTGATTTGCTCCTGGTTTTCAGAGAGCACCAGCTAACACAATTCTGGGATAGGGCTTCTAACACCCACTCTGCTATATCTTGGGTCATCTTATTTTTATTCAGGCCTCGTTCCAGATACAAGATTGCTGGCTGCATCTACTTAGCTGAAACCAAATTATGCACTGTAAAAAAAATGGTGGCTTTTTATTTCAGTGTATTAGGCACGACTTTCCATCCTCACCACCCCCCTGTTTTCACTGGGTGACACAAGCCCCTCTTCATGAGAGCTTTGGTTTTCTCTGACCTTCTTTTCAGGACGGCAAGTTCTATTTTGTGTTAAAACCATTTCTCATATATAAAAGTACATTAGTATTAGCGTAGCCGAGCCCCATCTGGTCCCTTCCCTTCTGCTGGGAATGATAAACGGGCAAAGGGCAGGACGGGGAGGAGCAGCCACGTGGTCTCCATAGCCAACCCAGGGCACAAGTGACACAGAGCTCTGGTGTCACCTGGGAAGTGACCTCCCTCCTCTCGAGCTCCTCAGCCACCTCGGGAAGGAAAAGCAGCTTTTAATATGGACACAACCTACATCATATTTGCTGGTACACCTGCAGAGCATCCCAGATTTGTCAGCGGGAAAAGCCATGCAAGACAACAGAATTTTGGAAATCCCACATACTGATGAGTACATGTGTATATTTTTTTCTTTTTGATAGGAGGGGGATGGAATAAACACTTAAGGGATTAATAACTTAAGTAACAGTACAAATGGAAAACATAGGAACAATACAAACTAAGAAATCCACAATGCAGCCCTGGGAGAAGGTAGGGCCCAGGAGGGGAGGGGAGCTCCCTTTCCCAGCAGACCTCACCTTTGGTCCGCAATTCCTTACCCACCCCACGCCCATCCCACCCCTGCACCAACCCACTGCCCAGAGACAGATCTGGTAACCTCACAGCAGGTTACCAGAAGGTCACTGGAGTGCTGTAGTCTCAGCCCCAGGAGTAGACAATTCAGCCAGCAGCCACTGCTACTTCTGCACTTGCTAAGGAAATACATGCCCTGCCTGGTGTTCTTGCCTTAACTAATCTGGGTTCCATTTCTAAAGGTATTCAGTTTTTTCAACAGTATTAAACTAAGTGCAGTGGCACATGCCTGAAATCTCAGCATGTGGAAAGCTGAGGCAGGAGGATCTTTGCAAGTTCAACACCAGCCTGGACTACAAGTGAGCTTCAGGCCACCCTGAACTGGCCTAGTCTCAAAGACAAAAAAGTTTATTTAAAAAAAAGTATTTTCAGGTGGAATACTGTGGTAAAAATGAAAAGAATTATTTTCTTAATCCAAATAAGTCAGAAGCTGCAGAAGTCCTCAGCAAGAGAGGAACCTCAGTCTTCAGCACTTGATGCTTGTCTGAGATCAAGACTTACCTCACATGATTGTACAGACTTCTTGTGGGTACACCGATCTGAGGTGTGCTTCTCCTGGGAAAGCACAGGCCCACTTTGGGGGTGAGGGGGAGGCTGGGAGCTGGGCTGCAAAGAGCTCAGGGCCTGTTTTCAACAGTTACTTCTGTGTTTTCCAAAAGATAGCCAAACAGTCAGAAGCCAGGCATCACAAATTGTCTTCCCTCAGCAATATTCTTTCAATCTATAAATGGTGATGAGGAAGTGGACGTTATCTTCCGTATTCTCTAATGAGTTGTCAGCAGAATTACCGGTGCTGTTTTATTGAGGCATGTCATCTTTCCTGTGCTGAATTTCCTGGGGAGGGCTGCAGCTGATCACGCAAGGCCAGCTGGGCCCCTGCTCTTGAACATGGTACAAGGCTGGTGTCCTGGAGCCAGCTTTCATTGCACTAAAAAACCCCTGAACCCCTTGTGCCTCCCCTGAGGAGCACTGACACCCTGCATGGAAGGCTCAGCAGGAGCCCTCTGGGTAGGAGGGGCACTGGCACCCAGAAGCTTACAAGAGGCTTAGAAAAACAATAAGAATCCTCAGACCCCAAAGTGTAGATGTAAACTTATCTTATACCAAGAAAGTTCCCCCAGAGCCTGACCAATCAAGGCTGCAGACAAAAAAAAAAGTTATTTTTTTTAAAGATCATGTTATCAAAACTTGTATTTATTCATATTCATCCTATGCTTGATGATCAGTCCGCATGGAAACTGGGTCTTTGGTGCTATTTTCCTGTTGTTTTGAAATTGAAGGAGAGAAAACAGAGAAAAGAGAGAAAACACAGCATGACAGCAAAATCCTGAGAATTTAAATCTAAAAATTAAAAAAAAAAAAAAAAAAAGATTCCTCTGTGGGTCTCAAAATGCAAAGTGCACGGTCAAAGAGCTGAGCCAGGTGGGAACTGTCTTCCCTCCTGCAGATGCGGCTCAGTGAGCGCTGTACCAAAAGACCCATTGCTTCCAGGCACGGTCTGCACGTAGGCCACATGCTCAGCGTGTCATATTCCTGTTGTTTTCTCCTTCTGACTCCTTGGGCTGATGCTGTTGGGCTGTTTGCTGGGCTCCAGTCCTGCTTCTGCAGAACATTGCCTTTCAGATTCTCCTCTGTTCTCATAAAGTCAGATCAACGGAAGCCCATCAGGAAACACCTTTTCATGCCTAATTCAGATCTCACATGTCACAGAAACAAAATGCAAGCGTGGCTTCTCTTTAACTCACATTTTCACAGAACGCCCACAATAGCAGGTAAGAGAAAATTGCTCTTAATCTCATTCTGTGAGGGGAATTTATTTCTCCTTGAGAAGGGAGCTCTCAAAAAAAAAAAAAAAAAAAAAAAAATGAACCTAGTACAGCCTCCTATTTAAAGGCTTCAAAAAATCATCTTATAATAATCTTGTGCCAGTGAAGTTTTATTTTGATGAGGACCAGGGCAGAACCATATGCAAATTGCAAACAAAGAAAATTCTAATTTGTATCCTAAGAAAATTGGCCTCATAGCTCATTTACTGTGGACATCTATCCAGGCAAAGTCCAGACCCCTTCATCCCTGAGACTTGAAGCAGTTTCTGCATACATGAAAGAGAAGTAGGAGACTGTGGATGGTTGTCATAAAGTAGGAGGAATTTGTGACTTCATAGAGGCTAATGATGTGATTTAGGCTGCATCAACTAAAAATGTGTAAAACCAGGATTCTGTGGTGAACATGGGGACCACTGTCTGACCTTCCTCCATGGAAGGCCTGGTTACCTTGACTGCTGAGGTGCTGTCAGCCCTCAGAATCATGACTGTGTGAGAAAACCTGGTGACTGACCTAGTTCTGGTGCATTATTTGCGCCACAGTGGTTCCTAGAGATAATCACTTTAAGATAACTGTGTGTTTGCTCGGAGACAAGTCCACATTGTTTTTACCCTGAATGAGATTCCAAAGACGAATCCTTGCCCAAGAGCTAGCTCCATTGCATACTGGCTCCAGGTTTGATCATAGTTCCTGAGAGCTGTTTTGCAAGACCTCAGTCTTGCAAGCCTACATTCAGTGGTGAGATAAAGCCAGTGTGTGCAGATTTGGCCATTTAAGTCCGTGTCAGGAGAACTCTGAAGAGCTGGGGTTCTCTCTGGGGATGGTGGAGGCTCTCCTTAGGCCTGCATTAACAGCTTCTCCCTCCGTCCAGTCCTGCTTCTGTCCCCTCCTCTCCACAAGAGTTGATCCCAAGGGCACACCATACCAGCATCCCTCCGGCTAAACTCTGTCATGGGGACTGCTCCCCAGTAATGCAGCATTTAAGAAAATCATGCCTGTCTCTGGCAGTCACATCACACTTGCAGAGCTGCCTGCAGACTCTGGGCAAAGATTTCAGTCCATATCTATAAAGGCCCTTTTCCTGTCCTCATCATGGTCTGGGAAGTTTGTATTTGTAATCCCATGGAAACATTATTGGAATTGCAACTAGTTATTCCAATCTACCACTGCCAGTGCAATCCACAGCGAGAATAAAGACACAAAGACATATTTACAGTTAAGGGCAGCCAAGGGGTCCTGAGTCCAGTCCAGATGAGGATTCACGAAACAAACGCCTCAACCCAAGGCCTAATCTGGATTTTATTAATTCATGAAGAAGCGAATGGCTGAGGATGAGTGAATGTGAGAATGGCGGGAATCATATGAGTACTGTGAGCTGAACTAGCTAGGAGGCCAGAAAACACATCTGTAATATGCAGAGAGAAGGATGTGCAGAAAGACCAATCTGCATAATACAATTGAGGTAGCATTTAATATTTAGGAGGCTGTTGCTTCAGTTTCTGATGTGTAAACTTTTGTGCCTTGGGAAATCAGAGCTTCTTATCTAAGCGTGAATACAGCTGACAGCCCTGGAACAATGGCTCTGCATCCCACTGAGCTCAATCATTTAGGGAGGTACTGAGACTGGAAAAGGTCAACTGTCAGCTGGTTTCAGAGATTACGCATCAGCACCTCAGCCAGCCCTATTTACATTGCTTAGAGCCAACTGAAGGGAAAAGGAAATAGCTTAGCCAGCTCCGTACATATCAGTACATGGAAACAGGCCAGTTTAGCCACAGTAGAGGTAATTGCTCTGTACTCAAGGAGAGCTGTCCAGGTGGTCTTCGAAACATTTCTATTAGTCTGATCTACCTGAAGTGCAATATATATTCACACATAATGTATATGCATACGTCTAAGAGACAAGGAGAGTTTCTAGAGATAACAGGATAACCGGATTTCCTGGGGATAGTATTTTAGTACAGGAAGAAAAAGGCTTCTGTGCTGGCTTTGCCTCCTTCATTTGCTCAGTGTTCATTTATCCATCCACTCAAACAAAATTCAGTGGCTTCTCAGTTACATAGTGAGTGTTATGTTAATTGATTTGGGAAGAATATAACCTGGTAAAAATAGAAAATTCAACCTCCAACAATGGAGCATCTGGTAAGACACATAAACTTGCAGTCATGATGTCATAAAGCACGGGCTTTGTCATCACAAGGATGCAGTTCAAGGGCAAGATGCCCAGCCTCTCTAAGCAGCCAGCTCCTTGTCTGGGGAATGAAGACAATAACAACACTTACTTTATTGGTTGGCATCACCACGTAGTAGCTTGAGGAAGCTTTGGCCCCTGTCTTCCATAAGGGCCTTCAATACCCTCCATAACTACTTTGAGTAATCATGAAACCTAAGTAAAATCTCCATGTTTACCTGGCTTTCACAGATCCCCTCTCTGTTCACAGCACTGAAGTTTCTATAATGGAAACCTTTTAGCTCCCTTTCCCTCTGCCTGCCTCATACACTGTAGGTCTCGTAAACAAGGCAGTACATACACAACTTCTTGCATAAATTCCCAGTGAATGTTGGCTATTATTAAGATATTTTGTAGTCGGGGCTGGGGATTTAGCTCAGCGGCATAAGGACCTACCTTATAAGCAGGCAGTCGTCAGTTCGATCCCTGGTATCGATAAAAACGAAAAAGACAAAAAAAAAAAAAGATATTTTGTAGTAATTGCCATAATACGAGGGTAACTGACCCTACTCACCCCCTTCCATCCCAAGAACTCACCTCAGTCCCAGATTAACCTAAGGGATGTCAGATTCAGAGGAGAAAAACAAGGCATTTTGAACTTTTTGTTTAAGAATGAGGAATGATTTTGTGTAAGATGTAAAATGCAATCTTGTCCCAAAGGATGGGTATGATGTGGCAAGTACAAGGGGAAAGGAGGATATAAA